TTKTTATTTCCTGTTTTGCTGTCTCAGGTTTCATTARCTTTGATAGTTTTATCTTATGCTACTTTTATATATTTACTTTAKATATCCAGTTGTCCCTGTTTTCATTAGTGATTAACACACCTGTTTGAACTCACTAATCCATATGTCAGGCGGCACGGATTGCCTGTAAATTGCACAGATTTCTTTCCATTTTGCATGAATACAGAGGTATAGAGCAACCTCACGTATTTTTTTTCAAAAACTTAGCTTWAATTTTATTTAAGCCTCAGAACCAGCAGACTGTAGCTAAGTTTGCCACTTCCTCGCTCATCCCTTCCTCCTTCTCTGTCGCTGCGGATGCTGTTGTTCTGCCTCTCTGCGACTGACAGTCCACTTGTTGAGAGTACTACAGACTTTTTGTGAAGATTAAGGATTTCTGAGGGTTCTGAAGGTCAATGTTCAAATGGGTTGACATATATTTTAGTAACTCTTCCAGTACAGGTTCTGTGTTTAAGTTCAGGTTTTGCACTGCATCCAGTAGAGATGGAATATATGGTTCTTTAAAATGAGCCAGATCTTGTGGATCAACATGTTTCAAAGAACAACAGGAGTGTATGCATCTGCATCTGAAGAGGAAAACGTGACGAAATCACAAGGAGGGAAATAAGAAAAATCGGAAGAATTGTCTGTGAGTTGGTTCCTTCTTCTTGTTTTAAAGAATCGTTCAGAAGATCCGGATCGTTTGTGAACGTCACATCTTCAGCCTCCATCCACCTAACAGGTACTGTATCTACAACAATCTGTTTGTTTCATGTGGAAACAACAGGTCCAAGTGAACGTCTGTGGTGTCCATCTTTTCATATTTTTGTTGTTATTGAGTGTCGTAGAGTTTCTACAGCAACATTTAGAAACACTGTTACTTGAGTTTGACTCAAGCTATGGATTGGTTAGAATAGAGGTGCCCAAAGTGGGGCCCACGGGCCAAAATTGGCTCACCGAGCCATTTGATTTGGCCCACCAGCAGTTGTCCTGGTTATTAGATTGTATTTATGTTAAGATTAAATATAAAATACAAGTAACTACAAGAGACATTTAGATTAGATTTAAGCCCATATACAGATTTGCACACCTTATAAGACCCCATATACTCAAATTTTAAATTATGAAAAGTCCCATGAGCCCTTGCTGCCTGAGCATACATTCAATTTTGTTCATGTCCATGGGCTGAAAAAAAACAACTAAAGAACATGGGCAACCACACTGGCTGCTATCTTAATCATAAAAAATAAAACAACTTTACTTAAGTATAAAGCATTTCTTATATTATTGCATTTGGCCCGCGGCCCTCACATTGATATGAATTTCGGCCCTCTCAGGAAAAATCTTTGGGCACCCCTGACCTGAGCTTACAGCACATGGGCTCAAATATGTGCAACTTTCAGCAAACAAAGCAATTTTAAAAACGTTGATTTATATATAACTTATATGAAGTGAAAACTTGTCTGTTCTTTAAACATGTTCAGTTTAATAGAACTGATAGAGAAAAGCATAATCCACAGTTCCTTCGATGGCACTCCATCATGAACTGTCATGAATTTTTTATCACCACATGAAGGAGTTACTTTGGGAAGCATTTATCAARCCCTAAAATAGAGTTCCTGTGTAGCAGCAGTTTATAACACATTTTTGCTGTTACTGAGGTTCATTAGTTACGGCCGCCATCTTGAATTGGGTTGACTCAAAGTGATTCAGCTGTAGCTGTACCTCCAGTTCTCTGAGCGCTTTGTTGAATATCTGGTGCTTTTTGAGATATTTTGCAAACAGACAGCCAAATGAACCCACAAACACACACAGTTGGATTCAATCCCACCTGTTAGGGAGTCTGTAATTAAAAGTTAAACAACTGACAATTAGAGTTTTGAGCAATTTGCTTCTATCATTATAATACATCTCTCAGGCATTTCCATTTATTTTTTCAAGAAGACAATGTAAAACCACATTGTGCAAACATAAATGCATTGCTGAAGGAGAAGCTGATGTGAGCACCTGTCTGGCCTTCCCACAGTCATGACCTCTGTGCTGCACAGTGTGCAGAATTTTAAAACAACTTAAAAAAAAAGGCAAGAAGAATATTGAGCCTGTATTTTTAAGTGTTTTGGAATAAAATCCTGGCCTGAAAAGCATATTAACACAAAAATTACTAAGACCAAACTAGATATTTGTGACCTATCACATCGAAATGAGGATTAAGTCCAAAAATGGAGATATAGGCAGATATAGGGTTTTGATTTAAACGAGTGCAAAAATTGCATTTTGTCAAAATATAATGAATTAATGTCTTATCAATGTATTACTTGAATGAACTGTCTGAAATATAATCCTAAATTTTTTGAAGCATTT